GCGGAGCGGGGCGCGGGCGGCGGGCGCGGGGCCAAGGCGAGCTTCCGCGTGCTGGAGAACTCGGCCCCGCACCTGCTGGACGTGGACGGCGAGAGCGGGCTGCTCTACACCAAGCAGCGCCTGGACCGCGAGGCGCTGTGCCGCCGCAGCGCCAAGTGCCAGCTCTCGCTCGAGGTCTTCGCCAACGACCAGGAGATCTGCATGATCAAGGTGGAGGTGCAGGACCTCAACGACAACGCGCCCGCCTTCCCCGCCGACCAGGTGGACATGGACATCTCGGAGAACGCGGCCCCCGGCACCCGCTTCCCCCTCACCAGCGCCCACGACCCCGACGCGGGCGACAACGGGCTGCGCACCTACCTGCTCACCCGCGACGACTACGGGCTCTTCTCGCTGGACGTCAAGTCCCGAGGGGACGGCACCAAGTTCCCCGAGCTGGTGATCCAGAAGCCGCTGGACCGCGAGGAGCAGAGCCACCACACGCTGGTGCTCACGGCGCTGGACGGGGGCGACCCGCCGCGCTCGGGCACCGTGCAGATCAACGTGCGCCTCATAGACTCCAACGACAACAGCCCCGTCTTCGAAGCGGCCTCCTACGTGGTGGAGCTGCCGGAGAACGCGCCCCTGGGCACGGCCGTCATCGACCTCAATGCCACCGACGCCGATGAGGGCACCAATGGCGAGGTGCTCTACTCCTTTAGCGGCTATGCCCCCGACCGGGTGCGCGACCTCTTCAGCATCGACCCCCAGAGCGGCCTCATCCGCGTCAAGGGCAACCTGGACTACGAGGAGAGCGGCCTCGTAGAGATCGACGTGCAGGCCCGCGACCTGGGACCCAACCCCATCCCCGCCCACTGCAAGGTCACCGTACGCCTCGTCGACCGTAATGACAATGCGCCCGCCATCGGCTTCGTCTCTGTTCGCCAGGGGGCTCTAAGCGAGGCCGCCCCGCCAGGCACCGTCATCGCCTTGGTGCGGGTCACTGATCGTGACTCAGGCAAGAATGGGCAGCTCCAGTGCCGGGTGCTGGGTGGCGGAGGCAGCGGGCCAGGTGCTGTACCCTTCACACTGGAGGAAAACTATGACAACTTCTACACGGTGGTGACTGACCGGCCACTGGACCGTGAGGCACAGGATGAGTACAATGTTACCATTGTAGCCCGCGATGGTGGCAGCCCCCCACTCAACTCCACCAAGTCCTTCTCCGTGCGCATCCTCGACGAGAACGACAACCCACCCCGCTTCAGCAAAAACCTCTATGTCCTACAGGTGCCAGAGAACAATATCCCTGGTGAGTACTTGGGCTCTGTGCTGGCCCAGGACCCAGACCTGGGGCAGAACGGGACTGTTTCCTATTCCATCCTGCCCGGGCACGTAGGCGATGTCTCCATCTACACCTATGTCTCTGTCAACCCCACCAATGGTGCCATTTATGCCCTGCGGAGCTTCAACTATGAGCAGACCAAGCACTTCGAGTTCCGCGTGCTGGCCAAGGACTCAGGCTCTCCCCACCGCGAGAGCAACGCCACTGTGCGTGTCACTGTGCTTGATGTCAATGACAATGCGCCGCTTATTGTGCTGCCCACCCTCATCAACGACACTGCTGAGCTCCAGGTGCCGCGCAATGCTGGTGTGGGCTACCCCGTGGGCACTGTCCGAGCCCTAGACAGTGATTTTGGGGAGAGCGGGCGCCTCACATATGAGATCGTTGAAGGCAACGAGGAACACCTCTTTGAGATGGACCCAACCAGTGGTGAGATCCGCACCTTGCATCCCTACTGGGAAGAGCTCAGCCCTGTGGCTGAGCTGGTGGTCAAAGTCAGTGATCATGGCAAGCCTAGCCTCTCAGCTGTGGCCAAGCTAATTGTCAGGGCCTTGGCTGGACCCCTGCCTGAAGCCGGTGAGCCTCAGGTGAATGGTGAGCAGCATCGGCGACCTCATTGGGACCTATCACTACCCCTGATTGTGACCCTGAGCACTGTCTCTATCATCTTGTTGGCTGCCATGATCACGATTGCCGTGAAATGCAAGCGGGAGAACAAGGAGATCCGCACGTATAATTGTCGCATTGCTGAATACAGCCACCCCCAGCTGGGAGGAGGGGGAGGCAATGGTGGGGGAGCAGGTGCAGGTGGCAGTGGAGGGAGCAAGGGCAAAAAGAAGAAGATCAGCAAGAATGACATTATGCTGGTGCCCAGTGAAGGCGAGGACAGTCGGGGCCCCCTAAATGTCATGAACGTGGTGAGCAGCCCCTCTTTGGCCACCTCGCCCATGTACTTTGACTACCAGACCCGTTTGCCCCTCAGCTCACCCCGGTCTGAGGTGATGTACCTAAAGCCTGCCTCCAACAACCTGACTGTACCCCCAGGACATGTGGGTTGCCACACCAGCTTCACGGGGCAAGGAACTAATGCCAGCGAGGCTCCACCGAGCCGGATGTCCATAATACAGGTAGGAGACTTTTAGAATAACCTGGAGCATACTTTAGATCCAAATTTAAACTGTATGTCTTGTCTGCAGTGAAACCTGCTGTAAGGCACCACTGGAAGGACCAGCAAAAGTCACTTAAGGGAGGTGGACTTGCTTATTAATCTAACGTGGAGCAGATCACACTTGTCTGACTCTGCCCTCACACTGCTGTGACCAGTGTAAATCAGAAGTTATTCTAATGAAATAAATGGAGTTATACCAGTGTTAAACAGATATGCAAGAGCAACACTGAGGCTTCAATAGTCTGGGATACTTTGGGGTGGTTTCCTGAAGTGGCAGATCACCAAAGATAGGTGGTCTCTTATGCAGGTTTCTCTGTAGCTGGGTTTTGGGCAGATGGGGTGGGGATATTTAAGGAGTCATGTCACCTGCTGTAACCAACAGGATATGGCATAAACTGTACACACTGAGGAAATCTCATGCAACAGTGTATATAGTCCTCCAATCCTGTATGTAAATATGAGCTCTCTTTCCAAGATGTATGCTTTTAATTTTTTTTAACTTCTTTAAATATATATATACACATATATACTTCTTTTTATACACACACATGCGCGTGCGCACACACACACACACACACACACATTTATTTTTCTCACAGAACAGTGTCATTTGGGACCCCATTGGCACCTTTTCCTCTCAGAAAAAAAAAACAGTCTTTTAAAACTTGAACTTGAAAACTTTGGTTAGTTTACTAGACCAACTAGTCTAGTATGTATGTGGTGATTCCTTCCCTCTAGCCCCCGACAAATTTTAACAAAACTC